AAGGCCACGAACAAAGCAATCCCAAAAAGTGAAGCGTCAAGGGATGGGATATCACTCGGCTGTTTAACAAGTAAAGGAGGGTAGGCACTTCCGATGAGTACTCCAAGGGAATTAGCTAAAGAGGCAATTGTTGTCGCTGTCGTTCTTTGAGTGTCGGGAAACCATACGAGAGCAAGTTTAGTTGGAGCGAACAAACAGAAGGGTTGAGCGATCGAAGCAATAACCTGAGCAACGACTAAGAGCACAAACCTTGAAAAGGATTGGGTCAACCAAGTCGAACACAGCCGGATAAACGCGCAGGTAAGGTTGCAGAGGATGCCTGTGCCAAGCACAAGCCGGACCCCAAAAATGTTAATAAGGGCAGCTGTTGCAAGGCCTAACAGGACCGTTGTGAGAGGAAATATAAGGTTTATGGCGTTCAGGCTGTACGCAGTCATGTTGTAATATGAAATTGCATGATTGGCAATAGGTGCGAGCGAAATCCACAGTATTCCACTGAATATATTCTGAGACGACAATCCCAGAAGGACCATCCAACGAAAGCCGGATGATTTAATAGTTTTGGTATCAGAATCCGAATTTATCAAGGGAGTAGAAGCGTCCGAATTATCCATAATTGCGCCCATAATTACGAACTGCACATGCTTAGAAAACCCCGCTTCTTGGAATCGTTTTCAAGGTCAGGGTCGATTAATCGAATGAAGTCCTTCCTTCACCTCCGAGTCCATGTATACAATGCATCTTGGACACGTGTGAACACGCGATCTACGCAGTAAATATTCTTCGACTGTAGTACTGACATATATCAGACAAACATTCAAACCTCACTTGATCCTGTTTGAAAGCCAAGCTGAGCCAAAGAATGGTGAGCCTACCGATAGTCACAAGGTCCAAAAAGGCTGTTATTTTCGTTGTACTGTCAAATCCACCTTATTGCAGCTTTATGCGAATTTTCGCAAATTATGACGATCTATTTTTTTTTCATTCACATCCAAGTTAAATGCAAGTAGAAACTACATTTTCTGCGCTTTAAGGATGTGTGTGCTTCGGTTATCTCTGGTGGTCATTAGTTAGTCGTTTTCTCATGTTCGCTTATTGCTGTGTTTACTTTGGTTGCTGCTGACGCCTGTCCTGATTATTATAAGTTCTTTGCGATTGTGTATTCAGTCACTTGATAATATTTGGTTTCTCACTTTAAAAATTCTAAGTTTTACGTGCCTTGCGTCCGTTAAGATGCAATAATCCGTTGGTTTTTCATAAACGTGAACATTCATTGAATAGCGACTGCGTGGACACTGGGCACCTGTGGCAAACTGAAAATATTTGCACTTATGCACACACAAGCACATACCAGCTTAATTATTGCCTTTCCTACGTTAAAATGCTAAAAAAACTTGAAAAAACATTTAAGACAATAACTTAGGAGCTATTTATTCTTTAGTTGTCCAGTTCGTGAGGGCATGCGTTGACG